TTTGTTCTATTTTGCAACATGCAACTAACCAGCGTCTCCGGTTGTAGATCGTTGTTAAGCACCACTTCCAGTGCTCGCCGCTCTCTCCATCACCTGCCACACCGGAACAACACGTGTTCCGCATCGTCGACAGGTTCCCCACAATCGAGACAAGACTGTTCGTACTGATTATACCTAGATAAATCGATTTTACAACGCAAGAACATTTCTAATCCAACAAACAGATCAATTATTTTATATTTTTGTCAATTATGCCTGAAAAAGCCCGGAGTTATTGTCATTACCTAGGAGATATTTCTAAATGCATCATTGACTGATTATAACAGACATTAACGATATTTACTAGTCAAAATCGTGTACTGCCTAATTTTTTCGGAAATATCGTTATTGACTAGTCATTATCATTAATTCCTTAATTTACGTCTTTGCCGGTAACACATATATGTAATATTTTTTTTTATTATTGATAGTAACTGCATTGACGGCTAGGGTCATTGACTAGAAATTTAACATAATTTTTACATTATGAAATAAAATGTTACAATCAGTTGAAACAGATAATTTAAGTGATAAGAAAATTATTAGACATAAAATTAATACCTAGTATTATACATTATAGGTGAACACAATACACATTTATAACAATTATAATAGTCTATGGATTATGGATACATTTCTAAATAAATTATATTATGAAGTTCTGTATCCCTAAGAAACTTGAGAACATAAATGATTTTCAGCTATAAGTTGAGTTAAATTGTACTTGAGACTTTGTAMTTTTCCTGATTTCAGTATTATTTTATATTATATAAGTATCAATTGATATAACTCGGTGTTATAAACTTTTTTATTATTATTTAAAGTTTTCCTGACAATGTCATCTAGCTTATTGATTACAATATTTTATTTATAAAATTTAAATTTGGTTATATCTTGAACATAAATTACTTGTTATTTCATAGTGTAGTAAAAAGAATAGTTATATGTGCAATAAAMATTTTGTACGTATGTCACAATTTATGATTGTGACAAATAATATCATTAACCATTTATTCCGTATTTGAGATAGATATTATAATATTATATGAGGGATATTTTTTCGGAGTTAATTTGACTGAAGATATTTTGACCGGTCACTGACGGCAGACATTGTTTCATGTGTCATAGTGGAATATTCATCGTGGGCATTGCATTGATGATCGCCGGCACTTTATACGAATTATTTGCAGATCACTCGCAACCCGAAAAATCTACTTTTTTCGGTAAGCATGGATACGTGAATAATGGGAAAAAAGAATCATAAATATAGTTTTTAATTACTTTTAATTTTGTAAAATTTAATACAATTGACATCATTAATTTAACGTTCGATGTTTTAGGTAAATTTTTACACTCTTACTCGATGATTACAAATATGAGAAACTTAACAGAAAATCCAAAAACTAAAGACTTTGCTGTAACTAATGGGCTTAAAACGATGGGAATAATATCCGTGATAATTGGTCATAGAGTTGCTCTAAACTTAGGAATCCTATCCTTTGATTCAGAACACTCAGACCACGTATGGAAATAATACCATTTTTTTTCTTATAATTATTTTAAATTGATTTTACTATGTTTTATTTGATACAGGTTTTCACCGATTTTTGGTGGTCATTTCTAAAGTCTCCAATTGCAGTTGAGATATTTTTCATAATAAGCGGTTTTTTTACATATATCCTGATCGAAGAGCGTTTAAGAGGTGGAAAATCATTGAAATTCATTCATTTGATGATTTATCGAATAATCAGGTACCTACCTATATCGAATAAAATATGTATTACTTGCTAAAATCTTAACATAATTGTATTCCTAATATTAACGATAGTTTATTAGTTTAGGATAAGTTTAGAATTGTGAAAATTTATTAGGTATATATTATTATCTCGATAAGTTTAAGAAACGTATACCGCACAAAAGGTATTTGCTTATAAAATAATATGATGTAGGTTAGATTACCTACCTACACTTGTTGCTTATCAATTACGTTAAAAATATGGGCACTCGGGAATTAGATCAGTAAAATTTAACATTTTATAACAGGTAAACCCGGTAATAAGGACATTAAATCTTAAACGATTTTTTATTATCAAGTCTAGTAATATCGAGTCATTATATTTTAATAAAATACCACTTGCAGTATCAAAATATAATAAATTATCCAATATTAACTGATATAGAATTATCATAATAAATAGTTGTTAGACTCCAAATAATTGGGAGGAAAGCGAAGGCGAAGGCAAAGGCTAAGAAGAAATGGTATACATTTATACATTTGTGTGTAAAAGTAAATAATAATTAAACTAATTGGGTGTAACTAGTTTATATTTTATATTAATAAAAACAAAAAGTTAAAATTCTGTATAGATACTGTAAATTATAATTAATAAAATGTTATATAATATTTGTATATTTTTCAATAATATACGTGTAGGCCAATTCCTGAGTACCTTTTAAAAGTATAATACATTTCAATTGTGGACCAATACGCAGGAAATAAAATAAATTGATTATTGCATTTGTATGCAAAGCGCCAAAGCAGGTAGGTAAAATGAAGCGCAATTAYCGAACACCCAAAAATTTCAATTCAAAAATCCCCATGTATTTAATTGTTGAGCTCTCAATAAAAAAAAAATAAAAAMAAAATACTTATTTTATTATAATGATACATTAATAGCCAATATAATGTCAATAGACAACATGCATTTACAATTATGTATTACATTGTAAAACTTAGTTTTCCATATTATTTTATTTTTAATAATCATTCTATAATAAGTATGTAATTTTAACATTTATAAAACATAAAATATGTATAATATGTTTTACTATTACATAATTTGAAAAATTAATAATAATTGTTCCTATTTTATAACTAATGGATGTTTTCAATATTATATTCATTTTATTATACATAGTTGTTTTGATTAATAACATCGTAGCACAATGATTCAAAATTCAAATACCAATCACAGTTCATATTATATGTAGGTACTAAAATTTGGGTTTAATCTTTCACTTATTTAACTATTTGTATGAATTTATTAATGATGATTAATAATTTATAWTTTCTATGAACTGCGATTATAATAAATTGCATTTATACATTAAGACCAAAATAAAAATGGACTTAAAATACAATCTCATAGAATAATTATTTTATTTTATAACAACGTTAATTACTTTATTTTTTATCTAATGATGTTTGAATATAAAAGTAAAAACATCATTAAAAGTTAATAATAAACAATAATTATCCAAACTAAAAATTTAACACAATATTCTCATTAAAGCAGTAAATAGTAATACTTTCATCGATATTACAAATATACATAATGGATATATTTTTTATTGATCATGAGCCTGGTAACTATGGCCATTAGTTCTTTGTAGGGGAGAACGGTTGGATTATAACACGTAATGTGGCAATGATTTTGTTGCTAAGAATCCCGGGTGATCACCCATCCGGTAAAGTGCTGGTCGATACGTACACTCAAGAGAGCGTACGCAACTGAGTGTGAACACTCCACCACACSAAGTCACAAATTAGTTTAACTTTATTTTTGAATCAATATACAATAAATTTGTTTTGATTCTAATGAAGTTGGTTATGAATTAAAATTGTCATTTTTTTTATATTTAATATTTGTAGAAATAAGAATACAATAAAATGAGTACCTATTTATTTTATTTTTAGAATTTTCCCAACGTATATTACTGTTATTGTGATATTTGCATTTGTTTTACCTTATATGGGTGATGGCCCACTGTGGAAACTTATTGTTTACCCTGAAGCTGAGTTTTGCCGGAAAAACTGGTGGACTAATCTATTGTTTATAAACAACTACGTAAATTCAAACGAAATGGTAATTATTTTATTTTTTATTCATAAAGTAATTTCTTATCTAATTTTAACTGTATATTTTAATTATTTATTTCATTTTAATGTTTCTATGAATTGTTTTTCTTTAAAGAAAACTATATTTTTGTAAATTTGTAACCTACAAATTTTGATTATTATTACGATTGGTTATTTTTATGAAACCATCATGAAAACGATATATGTAATACATACATACTATTATATATATATAAACAGTGTTTTAGTAAGCATTTTTACCTTTTTTTTTTTTTAATTCCATTGTGCAGTTATTCAAAATTTGATTTTTGAAATTTACTTAAAGAACATATTCTCTGATYCTTGAGATGTTTTGTACTTTACTTAAAGAATGTTTCTTGCAGATACAAATTTCATTTTTTGAATAAAATACACTCTTTACACGGTAAATTATTTAGAAAATAATTATTTTGAAAATTTGGACGTATCAAAACCAAATTTTAACRAATAGTTTTTGAGTAATTTAGCTTAGTTTATTCAGCGTAATAATCCATGATAACGAATTTGGAAGATGTGGAAGCTATGGTGATGTTTTTGATGACTTTTTTAATTGAATACGATTAAGCACGCTTTGTATAAAAAAATCAGATAATAATTTAATATGGTTAGTATTAATAATGTACTTAAGATTTTCAATTGATAATAACATCTATTGGTTGAGAAGTTGAGGTACATATAGTATAGCTAAAAAAAATTATCATTACATAATTTGTTATAAAAATATGGATATAACCACCAAATTGATATTATTTGCGTTACAAAATCTTTAATCAATTTCAGTCACAAATATGTAAAATATAAAAGATAAAAATTCAATATATTCTATAAGATGCAAATACACACTTTAAACCTTTCATTAGATTTAATTGTTATATGAATCCAAAATCTATTAAATCTCTATGTTTTGCTTTAATAACAACGAACAACTTATTGCCTTATTAAATTATTAACATTTCAATGAATACGTTTTTGATTTGATTTTACCATTTTAACCTTGGCTAGTTGGCAGTAACTTATTTAATACTTGTAGCATTTAAAACATTCATTGGTTTGATTTACATTTTTATAAAAGAAAAATTATTATTCTACACATTATCTTAGGTGGTATTGTGAATAGAGCTTAATTTCAGATTTAATTTATTTTAATAATTTATTGAAGAATAAATTTAAATCCCTCCTACGTTTCGTCAAATTGAAGTTTTAAATATAACCAGCTGTATAAATTAATATTGTAAAATATCTGCACATGATACACACACACAGACACCTAATATGTGTCCCTGTACGCATGTCTGCTTCCGATACACTTAAATGCATTGCTTGATAAACTAAACCATGGTAGGTACCGTACAGTTGAATTGTATGGTATATTGTGATATAAAACAAGCCAAACAAGATTTTGTCATTACAYCACATTTTCAATCATAATTATTGCAACTAACTATTGGCTACTAAGAATATTTTCAATTTTCAATCACTTATTRATGTACCTTGATGGACAAACACCGGAAGCTATTTACTTTTCACTTATTAGCCTTAAGATCTAACGAGTGACAAGAAATGCACGTTATATTTTATTATGAATTTAAATTTTAAAAATACCCAATACCTATTTGTTTTTTTAACGTGCCATTTTGAAATCAACTTAAGTATAAAAAGACGTAGAGCAATATATACATATAATATTCATATCAAATAAAATATTTAAATTGTAGGAATATTTTATAATCCAAAAAAGTTAACACTTATTCAGAATTACTTTAATATKATTTAGTATATTATAATATTATTATATAGCTTTACAATTATATGTGACTAACTATACTAAAAATTTAAAGCATTAAATTGTCTAAGACTTCTTTTAATATTATGAATTAATTTAGTAATTAAATCGACAACCTACCTACTATACACCTATACCAGAAAGTATATCAATTAGTTTGAAAGTGAATAATGTAGTTTCATAATTTACTCTAATAATTACCTTCATTTTTCAAGTTCGACTAGAATCATATTTTATGATGATGTATGATAACCTAACTATTCTATATTATAGTATTTTGCATTCATACATATTATTATTGTCATTGAGCCGTCAAYTAATTCAACATATTACAGTCATGCAGACATTATAGTGCAGTTCGGGAAAAATAATTTTAGAATTACTCTATTATAAAATAATAACTTATTTAATTATTTRAATAGTTAATTATWTATTTTAGGAGATWAACAGATTAAATAAGTCATAAGAATAATATATTAATATATGTTTTATACAAACATAATACAAATTATTGTGGATAATCCATAGAAACTAATGATTTTAACTTTACCACATTTAAACTCGTGTTCCTCTATGTATAATAATATAATAAATATATTTTTTTAGTTCCTGCATTAGTATAGGTATGTGTATTATAATAATTTAATGATATAATTTTCAGTGTATGATACACGCGTGGTACTTGGCATGTGACATGCATTTTTTCATAATTGGAGTTTTCTTGACCTATATTGTGTGGAGATGGGATAAAGCCGGTGTTTGTATTTATGGCGTTCTCTTCGCTGTATCTATTTACATACCAGCAAAATCAATTAACGACGATAAACAATGGGGAGTAATGCCATACTTCTATGGGTAAACAATATTATGTCAATTTCACTTGAAACAATTGTGTGAAAGCTAATTACCTTTGCATTTGTTCCTCGAAATTTTTATAGAAAGCAATCATAAATAAATTTGCTTTTATAAATATATTATAGTTAAATAAAATATCAATGAAGTTAGACAAACTATTTTTCCATTAATATATGCAGATTGTCATAAAACAATTGCATGCTCCCACGTGTTTTTTTATTATTATTATTATTATTATTATAGCTTTAAGTTACAACTAATATAGTTCAACAATTATATAATAGAAGAGAACAATATAAATGCAATTAAAGCATAATATAGATTTTATATAATAAAGCCAACATCCAAAATAAACTACTCCCACGTGTTAAAACGATGTTTCTTAACCATTTCATTATATTATTTTCATTTTCAATTTAAATATACGTTAGCACGTTACTGTTAGCATAGTAATTATTAACTGCATGTATACATAAAATGCATACTATACTTAAATCTACGTCTTATCAATATTATTATTAAAAGCATAAGTAATTTAATTTTCATAAACTTGTTTGTTTTAAATTGAAAAAATAACTCTTTAAATTATGATTTTAGTAATATTAAAAATATCAGAACAACTGAACATTTTCAAAGAATTTACATAAAGAGTCATAACAGGATCACAACATACCTTATTGGTCTCGCAGCCGCATACATATACTTACGTATCAAACAATCCAAATTAAAATTTTCAGTGGTGAGTAATAAAAATAGAATAATAATACATGTTGTTTAAATCAATTTACTTGTATAGTTGTATGATAAATGTTGTCTTTTATTTAGAAAAATAGAACAATAGGGTTTATGATATGCSTATTGTTACATATCGTCTGTTATATTGTGACCGGCTACTTWTATTTACCGGGACTTGCATACAATCCATTGAATCATATAATTTACTTCACGTTCCAGAGAATTATATATTCATTGACGATATCGTACTTGCTAGTCGTCAGCTCATTGTCTAATTTTGGTAAATATAAATTAATATTTTATTTTTTAAGAAGATACTACACCTGCATACCTACGTAGTCACGGTTTATAAACTTGACAAATTTCACGTTCAAAATAATACATTCTTACTCTATTATAAAATTCAATAAAATCATCCAAGATGCATTAGATAATTATCTTATACCTTTAAATTTTACCATGACCCAATTCCATCTAAATTAAAAAATAACATATTAAAATGGATTATCATTTAATGTATTATTTTCTATGTTTAGCATTATCTAACATTCGTGTGTGATATCCAAAACTAAAGATATTGAAGGCATAACTAAACGGTACAAAAAAAAAATAGTAATAGTAATAATAATAATAATTCCATTAGTATTATTCTAAAATATAAACATATTGACGTAAAATCACATTAAAAACTACTGATATTGTGACACACAAGATACAACATTGTTGCAAGTTTGCAACACGATTACATATTTTCGAAAACAATTTTTTTTAGACCCTTGACGACATGGGCTATTCAGCTAACACAAAAAATAAAACTAGGTATTGCAAAATATTAATACCTATACCTATAAAAAAAAAATTTAATTTAAATTTTGGTCTTAAGTTGGAATTAGGTAATGTTGGGTATGGACTGGGGGTGATTGTTAAACATTTCTGCAAGTGATTCAGGTAGGTTGTAATTTTTTCTGTTAATGTGGAATATTCTGCACTTGGTGATGATGTATTTGATGGTGATTGGAACGCTTCAGGCTGTACATATCGKGCAATCTTCTTTGGCCATTAGAAAGCTGTGAGATATTTGCRTGTGTCCTATTCAAAGTCTGATTAAAATTGCTTCAAACTTTCWGGGTGTTTCTGAAGGGAATGTCTATTTGTTGGTGTTGTGTTTAATGTGATTTTGTTTGGTTGAGTATGAGATTCTATTCCTGGTACGATAATTGTTGACATTTATTTGTTATTAGCATTTGCATATCTCTGGGTGATTTAATATGAATGAACGATAAGAGTGGAGAGGTGAATACGAAAACAAACAATTAAAATATGTCTTGTATAGTGATAACTTATAAATAAAATATTTTTAGATAGGTATGTTAAAAATTCAGATTATTTAAATAATCAATTTAAACACGGGACGAATAATATGCAATAGAATGAATGTTCATCTCACTTTGATTTCATATCTTCTTATATCTATCTAGTKAATTTGTATTTATGTTACTATACATATATAGAATAATAACAATAGTATTTAGCAATAGTCCCTTAAAATAATATATGTCATTCAAATTAATAAATATTTTAATACATTTATTAAATAACTTCAAATACAAGTTTACGTACAATAATATCATGAAGAATTTTTCCAAAGATAGAGTTTATATTTAATTTTAATTCAGTAATATAGCCCCATTGATTATAAATAATTTTAACTAATAATCAATGCAAAATTTGTATTATATTTACGTAGTACCTAATTGTTTCCCTTCTATCGTCTATTCGTCTCGTAAAATTATTTCAATTTAAACAAGTTAAACAATATAGAATAATATTATAGTAATTATTTCAATGTTTTAATAGAATAGTTGCAGAATAAAATGTATTCTATAGTGAAAAAAATATTGTTCCCTTTTCTAAGATACTGAAAGACAAAATTACTTTTCACGAATTCACTACATACCCTAGCCTACTTGTCACTTAAGAATTCTGCGTAATTCGAAAAACCTACACAACAAATAAGATCATTCATATTATTAAACTGTATACCTACATCATGGAACCACTACTAATTTAATCATACTCTTAGAATTTTCATAAACTATTAAATTCCAATACCCAAACTTACCAAAAAACACATAACAGATAAAAATGCGGATTAATTGATTATCTTAAAATCATTGTAACGTGACAAAAAATGTATTAATATTTCGATTTTTTTAATTATTTAGAATTATATACATATAAATAAATATAATGCCAAGTTTCTAATATAATTAATCCTKATAATCATTTATATATATATCTCAATATAATATTTTATAATATTTGTGAATTTTAATTAAATAATTTGTATTATGCAACGTGTCTCAGATAAAGCTGCCRGTCGTAATCTACTACGCCAMAGTTGAAATGAGATTTTTCTGTAACAATCTTTGCCTGAAAAGTACAATCCACACTATTTATGTGGCTTCATTTTTTTTTTCTAATGAACTTATTGATTTATTAAAATTTATCAGTCACCATGAAGTAATCAACCAATATTTCTTTTCCTGGATATTCTCCATCTATCGGGAAATTTTGAGATACCTTATTTTCACGATATAATAAAACGCTCTTAATGGGTAACCATGTAGTTTTTTTTTACTGTGATGGTTGTTGTTACTTAAAGGAATCAAATTAGATAAATGTAAAAAACGCCTAATTTATTAACATCGGTTAAATTTATGACAGAACAAAAACTAGATTAAAAATAAACCCCATATCAAAATTTTACATTTGAAAAATGCTTTAATTTGAAATTAATTAAAACAAACATGTTTTCAAACAGGTTTTATCAGCAGTTTTATCGAGTGCAAACTTTTCGTCGTCATATCAAGACTATCCTATGTTCTGTATCTGACACATTTTATTGTTCAGTTACAAAGTATTGGTCAAATCCGCCAACCAAAATATGGAAACTTTTGGATATTGGTAAGCTTAAAAATTGTTTATACTGGACAATTTATCACTAAGCAGTAAACACAAATTAATTTATGATTTTTTTTTTTTCTGAAAAAGTATTGGGAAATCAACGCCGATTTAATGACAGCTCTATCATACTCTATAATTTTTAATCTAATTGTTGAAGCACCATGCAGAAAAATATTCAAAGAACTTATCGGCATATTTATAAAAGGTATAATTGTTTGTTTTGTATATTAACTATGCATTGTTTACATTTGTTAATATTTACAAATGAAAATGTATTTTTTTAGCTGAAAAAGAATCGGACACTGCACGGTCATGATATTCAGGATRGAAATAATGTCTTTAAACTACAACTTAAATGCAGTTCTTGTATTTTTTAAAGAAGCTTAAAATAAGTATATAAACTAAATACATTTTCAATATTATTTTGTAACATCTCAGTAAATGTTTGAAGTGTCTATGTATCTACCTATTTTATCTATATGTATAAATTAGCGAGTTTATTTAAATTGAATACAAATATACAAATTAGTTTTACTTTAGTAACATTAAAGCTTTACATTCGCTGAATTAATATACTTCACGATATCACATCATTTTACTTTATTTAAATAAAAGCATATATTTTGACTACCTATGTGTATTGTATGACTGTATACGTCTGTAGTACAATTTGTGCTGCTGTGCACTTTGCATTTGGCACTCAATGGTAAGAAAAATAACTATTTAAAATTATAATATGTATATTATAAAGTATGAAATTTAATAATACATTTTATATTTATTMTATTTTCCGCAGAACTAATTTATAACAATACAATTTAAGTCTCGATGTATTTATATCACAGTGGTGTATTTACAAG